TTATTGAATACTAAAGCATTTCTTGCAATCCAAATATGCCATCGAAAAGATATGATTTTCAGTAAATCAATATCAATGATGAGCTTTGATTTGAAAAGCTTTATCTAGTTTGTGAGCCAATTAGCAATACTCATGTCAGTGGTTACATCAAAACGGATAGCAATGTTCGTACCAAACCAAACTTGCTTTGCTAATGGGCATTTGAGAAATAAATGTTCAAGGGATTCATCATCTTCATCACATAGAGGGCAGAAAGTATTTATGTGTTTAAGCACCACTTGCAATCTTCTTTTAACAGGAATAGCATCATGCATTATTCTCCAAATGAAAATATGCAATTTAGGTGGAATGAATTTTAAACTCCAGAAATAATGCCATGAGATACCATCACCGAAAAGATGAATAGAAGAATGTAAGGGTTTTTCTGCTAGTAGGAGTTTGTACCCAGAAGTTGTATAATTTCGATGTGGTGTTAGAGTCCAAGCCAAAGTATCTTCTATTTCTACATTTGGGCTTGGAAGAGCCATATTATATATATGGTTGGATACAGTGGTGTCAAAGAATAGGTTCACCAGATTACTTTTCTAATTTTCTATTAAACATAGGTGGAATTTGATTGCTATTTGAAATCTTGAAAATTTGCTTTTCAAAGATTAGATCTCATTTGCATTGACATCTGAAAAGTAATAGAAGGCATGGTTTGGTAAGAGGTGATTCATTCTTGGAATGTTTTTAAGGCCCTGTTTGCTTTTCGGTAAGTTACTTACTTGGGTAAATGCACTTAATCAGGTAAATGTTTCCCAAGAAATACTTATACAGGTAAATGCATTTACCCATGTTCTTTTATTTCCCAAGTAAATAAGGCAATGACCATTTTATCCATAAAAATCCAATATTAAAAGGGGCATTTTTGTCCCATTCAAGTGTTGGCACCTTTCACCTCAAGTGAGAAAGTTATTTACCCAGTTAGGGAGATGGGGGTAAGTGATACCAAGAAAAATCCAAAAAAAGAACATGGGTTTCTTAGTCAATGGGAATCAAAATCCCATTGACCAACTTTTCCCCCTCTCAAAATCCAAAAAGAGAGCACCCCCTAAATGACTTACAAAGAATTTGTTAGACATAAAAGAGATTTTTGCTTTTTCAAATGTCATATTGTTAAAAATGGCTCTTGTTTTCGGATTTCAGATTTCCGGTTTATCAAAGGCCACCTTACCCTTGATAACTTCCTTGTCAGACATTCACCATTAGAAATGACTGGCATCTATCTGTTTATCTTTCTCTATCTATCTATCTATCTATCTATCTATACATACATACATACATACATACATATATATATATATATATATATATATTTATAGCAAGATGGTTCATGTCACCATACCTCTCCTTACACCAAACCCCCTTCCTAATTTTCTGTTTTTTTTTTTTAATTCCACTTAATTACCCATTAAACCAATAAGGAAATAACATAGGCTTAACTATTTCTAACAACCATAGTGAAAGAGGGATTCACTTTTCTAATGTTTAGCCAAGTGCCACCACTTTCTCCTAAATTGTCTCTAATTCCTATTTATTTCCTAAATTATCTCTCACTCCTATTTATCTCTTAAATTATCTCTAATTTAGTAAAGAGATTCTCTCCTAAATTATCTCTAATTTCTATTTGTCCTCTCCACCACTTTTTATCTACATCTGTCTAAAGACAAATTCAATTAAAAATTTTTAGAACTATTTAAATATTATAACGAAATTATATACTAACTTTAAAATGTTTATTCAAAACACAAAATTAATTATAATAGATTTAATAATATTCATATTATTAATAATTCTATATTTTTACAAAATTCATCATGAAATTATGTGGTAGCAATATAAACTATAATTTTAAGAATTATTCAATTTAAATTTTATTCAAACAATAAATATTAAAAAATAAAATAATATTTAAATATTTCAACAACTAAATATCTTAAAGAACAAAACATTAAAAATAACTAAATAATTAATAATAGATTATGTAATAATAGTACTAATTATAATTTTATGGATTATTAAATTCAATAAACAATTAATATCTTAAAACTTTAAATAATAATATTATTTAAATAACTAAATAATATTGCAAATAACTAATTTCACTAATACAATTAATAATTATAGAAAATAACTTTCAAAAAAATAATACTTATTAGTAATAGTTTTTCAATAATAGTGTATATTCATTATATATTTATATATACTAAAATTAATATTTATTGTAATTTTAGTAATTACTTATTCTATTTTTTTATAAATATGTTTTCAATAATTATTTATAAATCTATTTTTGTTTCTTATTTAATAGAAAAATGTCAGTAATTATTGGAGATTAAATAACTATTTTTAGTAATTATGTATTTTTTATAATTTATTGATTAATATTAATTAGAGATTAAACTATTATTTGAGATTACACTATTTATTAGCTAATTTAATATATTTTCAGTATTTATTATTGTATTTTTATTAGATATCTATTGTATTTCCATTATAAATTTCTTTTCAATAATTGTGTATTTTTGCTATAAATTTTCAATAATTATTGGAGATTAAACTATTGTTATTTATTAGAGATTAGATTGAGAGTTTAGTTGAAATTAGGAGTGTTCAAGGATCTCTTCAGTTCGTTGTAGGTTGTTTTGCTAATTAAATTGACCTGGTCAGGTTGGGAGTTTGTCACCCGAAACCGATTGACCATTAGTGAAAACACACCAACTTGGGTGATATCGGTTTGGGTCTATTTTTAGTTTGATTTGTTTGTTCAAAATATTTAAACTTAAAAATTAAATTTAAATTTAATAAATTATTATGGTATTACTAAAAGTAAATTAAAAATTTAAATTTATGATATAAAATATTTTAGACTAAGAAATATAGGCTTAGTTTGGAAATAATACAAATGCAAATATGTAGAGTGCAAAACCTTAATATTTTTTATTATTTTGTATGTATTCGCACCGCACATATTTGCATTTGTACTATTTCCAAACTAAGTCATAGGAATTTTCCCACTTTCCCTTATTAAAATATTATCTTTAAAATATAAAATATTTATATATTTATGGTTGGGTCGGTCCAGTTTTGATTGATTTACAAATAGCCAGACTGAAACTGACCTGACTTGATTGGGTTGAAAAATTGTTGAACCAAAGTCATTCATAAATACTAGAAAACTAACCAACTTGGATTGAGTTCGATCAAATTGGTTATTAAAAATTTAATATAAAACAATTTTATATTCTTATGTATTTCTATTGTTTAGCCTCACTTAAATTTACTTAAACCAAAATTCCAAAAATAAGCATATCCATTCACTTAAATTTAATCATTATGGTCTGTGAAAAAAAAAAAAAGGGAGAAATTAGCTATTAAGACAGACCATTAATCAAGGGTAATATGCGCATTAAAAATTAGTAATAACACATGTAAATCACTTCTATTAAAGTCTGAATCTGGATCTGCTGTGCACACGTTATGCAGTAGCACACAGTAAAGGAACAGCAATTTGTGCACAGTAAATCTGAGCTCCTTCCGTCATTGAGAGCAAAAATTCTAGACATGGTACGGAAGTATTGGCATCCAGTCGCGCACGAGATCAACATCTCCCCAAAATTAAATTTTGCCATGGAAGTGAGGGGTAATTAAGCACAAGAAAAGTGGAGGAGAATTAATTACATGTAATCATCCGCCAAAGAGGGAAATGCATGAATTCCAATGCAAATCCCACGGTGTACAAAATGCATCTCCAAAAGAAAATACAAGAACAACTAGTGATAAAGTGACGTGTACAGGAGTTGGCAGGTAGGCCCAAATCTGTACCGAGAAATCCTTCACTGATTACCAGTAATTAGTAAAGTAATGACGTAGCTCCCTTCTTTCCCTTTATATCGAGTGATTGATAAGCGTAAAACAGTCTGTTAAACAAAAAATCAAAAGGTTTATCAGCGCTCCAATTTCGCAATTTCACTCGCACTATAAATGATTTTCATGGTTAAAACTTCAAACAAAAAGTCTAAAAATTCCATCAATTATCTCTGGTTTAATACGGTTTTAGCAGCGAACGTAACTAACAAAAAGCATGCAAGTTTATTTATGGTGGGTGCCTGCCTTGCTAAAGATAAACTTAACTAAAAAAATCCTTTAAATTCTCAATTTGGATTTTCTATTTTGATTCATCTGTGTGAGAAGTGGCGTCGTGGTCTAGGAGTTTGAATTTTTTATTTTTATTTTTCTTTTTTCACTCGTCTTGTTTTCTTTTTCAATCTTTTCTTTTGGTCTACTAATTAGAAACGAAGAAAGTAAAGAAGCAGTAATCTGGTCTAAAGATAAAAGATACGTAAACGATTAACACTGATATTCTTTTTATACGAATTGAAGATGAAGCCCAAAAGCAAGGAGAAATGATCACTAGCTGAGCAAAAGAAAAAAGAAACGAAATGGGTAAGTTGCAATCAATAAAAAAAAACCAAGGCAATATTTGTTAAATAAATAATAGGAGAAAAAAAGAAAAAAGGAAGCACGAAAATAGAAGGAGGAGAAGAAAATAGACTCAAAAACAAAACTCACACACACCTTCGTGATCCCGTCAGCTGCGCCGGCGCTGTCCAGCCGACGAATGCGCCCAAAGAAACAGATGGGTAGCGTCTCACAACAGCTTTTCCGTTAAACACTAGAATTTCAACACCACAGCCCCTTTATGTCAATGGTCAGAATCGCTGGCGCTTCCTCCATCAACTGATGAAGATCAATCCCTCCTCCCTCCTCCCGCAACTCACATCTCTTCCTGCCTTACGAAACCGAATCCACAATCCTCTGTCATTTTCTTCTTTATATATCTCTCTCTCTTTCTCTCACCAACTCCTTATCACTCTTCTTTCTTCTTCTTCTTCTTCTTCTTCTTCTTCTTCTTTCTGAAGAATAATAATCATCCCCAGCTGTTATTGAATTTTTCTTACGAGAATTAATTAAATCATGAGCCCTTCCCAATTTCATGATGATCAACAGGCGAGGAAGGAGATCAATGGGCCACGACCATCTCCATTGAAGATCAACAAGGATTCCCATTTTATTCAAAAACCATCTTCCTCGGCACATTCATCTTCTTCTACTTCACCGTCCTCGCTCAGTGCTGTAGCCGCTACAGCCTCCGTAAAACAACAGCATCAACAACAGCGACAGCCCCCAGTTATCATCTATACCCACTCTCCCAAGATTATTCACACCCAAGCTCGCGATTTCATGGCTCTAGTGCAAAAGCTGACGGGGCTTTCACGTTCTGATGATCAGCCGGTGCAACCTCAACCTCAGGAATCTGGGCAAGTTTCTTCTTCTGAAAGGAATAATTTTAACACAAGAGCAGGCGACGACACCGAGTCATCATCGCTTGTTACCGATGGGAACTGTGGCGGAGGTGGCGGAGATGTTCAGGTCAGCTCATCTTCCATTTCTCCAGTCTGCGAACCGCCTAATCCTTATATATCCGATATTCCTCTCTTTACACCAAACTCAGCGGAACTCTTCTACTCATCTCGGCCGTTTTATAGATACCCAGATACAGTGTTTACACCTCCCGATATAGGGAATTCAATCTCCCCTTCAGCTCTCGAGGCTAGGAAGGGATTGCAGGAATATTGAAGCGGGGCTAATTCCAATTTTCTTTTTTAATCATCCTAGCGGGTTACATTTTCTTTCTTGCTTATAAAATGTCGACTGATCATATATTTGTCTTCAAAAAAAAAATAATAATAATAATAATTATAATAAATGACTAAATTTTGTCTCCGAATTTCTTTATTTATTTATTTTTAATTTTTTTGGGAAGAATCAATAACAGATGTGAATTATGTGATCAATAATTCATTCAATTTTTCCTTCCAACATCAGATTGATATCTTTTTCCGTTGGGATGCATTGCTTTTTTCTTTTCTTTTTTTTCTTGTTCCTTTTGTGTTCCTATTGGATATAAGAACACATTTTAAATTTATTTCTTCTTTTTCTCTGGTTGGCATTAGAATGACAACATAGAGTAGTAGTCAGTTACAATATGTAGCGAAGGGATATCTAGCTCCTTTTTTTATTATTTTATTAACTAAATTTTCTTTGTTGATGTTAACAGAAATGGAAAATACAATTTGAGTTTATTTCAATGAGGATCAAGATATCTTCGTAAGATGTTGGAGCAGAGTATTGGAAGTGGTATGGACCATTTCCTATAGCTGGGCATGATTAAATACCATAATATTATAATGGTATGGTTCATATTTACATGGGAGATACACAGAAAATGAGCCTAAGAACCATGAAAATATATTGCTTTTAACTCATATTTGATCAAACAACTGAAAGAAAGAAATTAGAAAATGGACTCCTCCTGACAATATCAGGACAAAAGAACAAGCACCAATTTGGAAACGATATGGTGAGGAGGATCACAGGATGACTAATTTTGACAAAGAACTCTGCAAAGAAAAGCTCTGATTATCCTTTCTTCCTTAAAAGAGTACAGAGAAATGCTATCATATGATGGAGGTCCCAAAAAAATGTAGAATAAATCTCATCAATAAGATTATATTTCATTCAACTAGAATTGAAAAATACTTGAGTTTCCATGTTACCTATCTCAATAAAATCAATCTCCAGACTGTATCTTTCCTCCATCAAAGGAGGGAGAAGAAAAAGAACCAAAGAACACCCACTTAAGGAAAGGAGGAAAAGAATTTTCTGCCATTGATGCTAAATCTTATAGAGATAAGGGGTAGATGATGATTATGATGTTGTAAAATTATGTCAAATCTGGTCTACAATGGCAGAGCTATGAAATTTAAACCTCATTGGCATTGTATCTCATAGGAAATATTTCATAATTGCAGAAATCTTCATTGTGCAACCAAGGATATAATACTCTCTTAGTATATGGTTGAACCAAATAGTGCATTCTGGCGTACGTGAACCTGATTTGTATGTGGGACCATATTACTTGAATGGTCGGGCAGTCAAAATTAAATGAGGTAAGATTGGGGCCAAAAGTGCAAATACTGTACCTCAAAATGCATGATGTTCTATTTACTTTGTCACGGGCTCAGTTCGGAAGGAGTATAAATACAAATATGTAGAGTGCAAAACCTTATATTTTGTATTCTTTTGTATGTACTAAGCTTAGGAAGAGTACACATTAATATAAATATGTACAATGCAAAACCTTGCATACCATTTTTATAAACCGTGTATTTGCACTGTACATATTTTTATTTAAACTCTTCTCAGACTGAGCGAGCCTAATTAACAGAAAAATGTAACTAAAAGAATTTAAAGCATGCTTTGTAGCTTTGTTACAGTTTGGGGGAGCAAGAGTAATATTCCTTTCAAATTTTGTTGGCCATCACTACGGGATTAATGGTTGGTTGATGATCAGAAAGGATGGTATGGTGTTGAATTTCAACAAGTAAAACATGCTCTCATTGATTCAAAACAAACTTAGAAAGAAAACACAGTATTTTGGTTGGATAGGTGATCTTAATGTTATTAGACCAGGGTGAAGAGAAGGGAAAAGTGTTTATGTAATCTGAGCATGTCCAAGGTTGTAATCTGGCTGCCTTTGCATTGTGGTTTGTTTTCTTCCTTACTTTATTTGGTTCTCAAATATCTCTGTATTTTGTTTCTAGGTTATAATTGCAAACCTGGTGTTTCTCCTAGGATTATCAGTATGAATCTCTGCAACTTGTATTCACCTATGACTTCTGTATTCTGTGATTCTGCATTCCTGGCACCTGCAATTCTAGCTGCACTGTGCATCCTGACTTTCGCATCCCTATGGTGGAATTTGAACACTGAAGATAAATTGAAGTAAAAAATGACAGTCTCATCTCATGTATTATCATTAGTAAAATGAACTAAATAAATGCTTCGGTCTCTCTCTCATTCATGTACGTGGCTAACCCCATTAATTGTCTGTCTATGCTTAGAAAAGAGTATTCTTTAACTTAATTTTTATCCATTAAATAGACTAAACAATTGACAATGAAAGTGGCTACGGGTTTCTTTTCCCTTTTTTGAAAGGATGACAATTTTTTTTTCACCAATAAAACTGAAATAGAACAGCACCTCTTGGTCTTCAAATGTCCCTCATGGTGCATTGCATGGAATGTACGTGGACCAGGAAACCTACTAGACAGCATATTAATTTGTTGGTACAATTAAATGCATAGCACTGATGTCCTTTTTTTTTTGTCTGAGAATCGTAATAGACTTCTAATTCCAACTGTTTGGTTGGGCAGAATCGATCGGAATCCCATTTTCATTCCTGCTGGAATGGCATCCTCTCTTTGGGAATAAAATTCCATTCCTGTTGATTTTAATTCCCATTCTCATTCCGGTCTGAACCAAACAGACTATTGGAATGGACCATTTCGGAAGATTTTGATTCCCATTCCAATTCCAATTCCAACTGCGAACCAAATGGGCCCTTAGATGTCTAAACTTTGATGATAGTTTTTTGGTGGATCTATCCCATAGGATATTCAGGTGGATTGTCCCTTGTGGTGGAAGAAGGATGTAAGAGAGACCTACATATTTTAGTATCGAATGAAAGATGAGTTCATGACAACTTGAAAAATATAATATTTTTAGTTTTATAGCCTTTATATTTACGCCTCCAAATAAAAATCAAACAAGTCAGGGTCTAGAAATGATTGGAAGATATTCATAACCAAACTTCCAATCCATGGTACCTTTTAAGAGATTTTAACGCGTATATGATAAAAAAAAAATATGTAACTTTCAATAGTTCTCAAACACGTGTTAAATGAGTGTAATCTCAATAGAGGCGAAAGGCATAAAGTATATATACACGGAGGTCCATGAAAAAAATAATAATAATAATAATAATTGATGAGTCAATTGATTAAAGGTTTAGCAATTTGTGATAAGAGCCAAAGTTTTATCTAAAAGCTTAACAATATGGAACAGGATGCAATTTATTGGGAATATCTATGAATTAAAAAGGAGGACCATAAGTCAATTACAAGAAATACAGAGGGAGAAAATTATTAAATCAACCCCCATGTTGGGAAAAAAAAAAGAAGAGAAAAAGCTCTTCAAGGGAGATTAAATAAGATTTTAGAGAGGGAAGAAATATATTGGGCCCAGAGAGATTCAGGATAAATTGGTTCCAAGCTGGAGATAAGAATACACAAGCCTAAACCTTATTAAGGAGTTTGTTGAAACTTTTAAAGAAAGATATAAAAAAGATACTACTGAAAACATAGAAGAGTTCCTAGAAGCTATTCATCCAATCATTTCACTAGAGGAAAATGAAGCATATTCAGGACTGAGGTGTAGGAAAGTGAAATATTGGAGCCCTAGAAAGTGGTAGAGAATACATAGAAGCCCAAGGATTGTTAACAGTAGAGAACTAGAGAACAGGGATATAATATTATAGGTCAAGTGGAACCCTCCTGTGTTATCTGTTATTAAAATTAATTTTGATGCTTAAAAAAAGATATCGAGGATTGAGTAGGAATTCAAATTTGATCTGATAAGAGGTGGATTTAGATACCTCCTTTGGTCCTAACAAATCGGATCAGATCTATTACATTAAGAAATATTATATATTATATTTTATAATATATTAATAAATAATATAATATAATATATTATCATACTTTTTTATTATAATTCTGTTCGAATTGAATTCAAATCGTATTCTTAAAAATCTGATGAATTCTTATCAAATTTGGATTCTTGTTGGGCCAAATCAAATATACCTTTTACTAAATTCAATGGAGGTTCCAAAAATACTATTCGGCTCAATTAAGAGAAAGTCGATCATGGTAGATGAAATGAGACTCCAATGTAACAATGGGGTTCGGATGGAGGGAGACTCCAAGGTTACAACGATATTGAAGGTGTCACATCACAATGAGGAGTGCATGATCAGAATCAAGAGAGAGTTCAACGGTTCAATATGCTATCCTCACAAGCATAAAGAAAGTAACCGATCGAGCGGCAATTTGGCTATAGCTAGCCAATGAAGGTCATCAATGACCCATCTCCACTTGGAGAAGCTTTTGCTCGTCGGGTCTAATTTTCTTTCATGTATCAAAAAAGAAATAGAACAGTTATGAAGGTCTCTTTAACAATAATTGCTGTGCCCATGAGGACAACTATTTCCTATTGGTTTTGGCCCAACTTGAATTAAACCTGTCTCAGTCTCATATTAATCCGGCTATATATACACTTAGCCCCGGCCGATCTCTTGCAAGCAAAACTAGTGCTCACATAGCATCATATCGGATGGCACAGCCATAATATCTCCACTACAAACAGTACATTTATGTTTAATTTATACAGCAAAGCAGGATGCATGGATTCCCATTCTTTGACTTTAATTGTGTGCAGACTGCAGAGGTTTTAACCCCCCCCCCCCCCCTTGCACATATACATAAATACAGAGCTTTCAAGTTTGAACAACTATTAATTAATCCTACTCCAGTTCAGACAGACTGCATCATAGACATATCCCATTAACGCAGCCCCCATCCAGCAGGTTGATCAAGTAACCACCTAACCTAACATCGATCAAGAGAGTACAGTCCACTTCATTTATTTGACCCCCTCCCCCGGCCAGGTCACCGGGCCGATCG